CTTTAGAGGGAGGACGTGAAGAATGAAGAACAATTGTAAATATCTAGCTTTCTTCAGAAGTGATTAAAAGAGTTCTGCTTGGGGCGCTTTTGGAGGAGGAAGGGGGCCTGACAAAAATCAGTCTACTTAACCAGAAAGTCTTTAAAGTCCTTACACTGTGATTACACACAAAGAACAGATGAAACTACGGCCTAAGAAGGGACATAATTAAAAGCTAAATTCCACAGCACATGGTGGCTTCAGCCTCCCTAGGCCTCGGTTTCCTCATCTGTCAATGAAAGCTGGGGGCAGGTGAGGGGATGGTAGGGGCAGGTGAGGGGGGTGGTAGGGGCAGGTGAGGGGGGTGGTAGGGGCAGGTGAGGGGGGTGGTAGGGGCAGGTGAGGGGGTGGCAGGGGGCAGATGATTGCCAAGCTTTCTCAGCTGGAGTCACAGGGCTTGAGGATGTGGTCCTCAGGTTCTGGATTACAGCAAGCAGGAACATGTAAGGCTATCCATCTCGCCCCTCCACATTCTCCGTCAGCGCAGATACTGTGATGATCCCTAGGATTAGGGATGCATTTTGAATTTACACAGAACATTAGTGTTTTCACTCCCTGACTCTATTCCTCGGGTGTCTGTGAGATGGGTGGGCAACCAAGAACATTTGATTTGATTTACGGGAGGATTAAGTGGCAGAAACGTGTTGGCAGAATTGGCAGAGTTGAGTCTGGAGCCCAGAAGGGGTGTGCAGAATGAGTAGAGCCAGGAGCCAGGAGGGGCAGGAGAAGATGGGCGGCGTTCTCTCCCTGCCAGCCGGCTCTTAAGCCAGGAATCAGGGACAAAAAGAAAGGCCATAGAAGTCAAGCGGTCGGTCGAGGGATCTTCTGGTGCCTCGATTGGTGAGAATTTTCCTTTTGTCACTGAGCCCAGAGAGACAAATGCAGTAGCCTTTCCCAGGTGGGTGGGAGAACGGTCCCCACCCTTTGCTAGGGTGAGGCTCAGCTTTCTCCCCCAGGGCCCTGGCAAGTCTCTGCGAGGCCTGCCTGCCTACCTGCCCCAAGAGCGCAAACTCAGCTGAAAAACAAAATCAAATCTGGTTGTGGAGGGGCAGGGCGGGGAGGAGATGAGAAGAGTCTCAGGTGGGGAAAGAGGCAGCTTGGGGGCCCGCCCCTCCACCCCACCCTGCGTACAGGGGCGTGGCCTTGAAGGGGAGGAAGTCAGGACTGAGCCAGGTTGGCCAGAAGGCTATGACTTCAGCAATGGCTGAGATGCCTGCTCAAAACCAAAAGCCTTCTGGAGTGGTCTGCGATCGGAGAAACTGAGGCTGTGGAAAGGAGGCTGACTGCCCAAGCCTGCACACCTAGGCAGCGGGGGAAGGGGACTGAATCCAGGTCTCCCTCTCTCAGGCTCAGAGTCCTTGGCCCCTGACGACCTTAAGCTTCTCTTTGGCACCGTAACATTCCCAAAACCCAGGTCGTGAGCACGCGAGTATCCCAGTTTTACAAAGCCATCATGCCAACTATTGCTTACTTACTGTCCAGGGAATAATTTTTCGATTTCAGGGCATTTCCTTTGAAAAGAAATCACATATCGCTAAGACAGACGACACAAACGGTACTCTTTGCTATGAAAGAAAGGCTAGCCAGGACCTTGATAACCCATGTCAACAGTGTGAAACAGGAGACCATGCAATGCTTTCGAGGTGCATTTGCTGCACTGGAAATGTTGAGCTGTTTTGCGCTGAAGGAAATGTCGGTGAGCAATGAAGAAGCACGGGACCCACACTCAGGCTCAGGGTCATCAGACTGGAAATGCGAGAGTTTCTATGTGCTTCAGTGATGGTTACTGCCTGTGTCCTTGAGGTCCCTGAAGTCATCCCACAGCCACCAGTGGTGCATGGCGAAACTATGTGAGGATTCTGAGTCATAAGATAATTATGTGGGATGGGTTTTCCACACTGACTCCCACCCAGGTCATGCAGAGCTCTGTGGGCCAAGGAGAAGACCTGTGGAGCCCCTGTCCCCCAATAAGGCCAGCAGCCTCATGCCTCACTGAATACTTTTTGTGAGTGGAGTATGTGAAGAGGAAGAGCCAAGGGCCAGGTTCTGTGGATGGAGTGCCCCTTTGGGGTTCAGAGACAATCCCCAACTTCTGCCACCTTCACCTAAAATCCCAGTCACCCCTCCGGAGGTCCCACAGTGCCGGGGACAGAGTGGGAGTATTCAGTGAGCAACCAATGACCCATACTTCCCTCTTAGCTACCCTAGAGTCTTGGAGCAGGGTGGTCCAAGCCACCTAAATGCAAAGAAACCCAGCAATAGTTGGCTAACAACAAGGGACTCCAGGGTCCAGCTCCCACTGCCAACCTTAGCACGAACCCCTGTGTCCCCAACACAACTTAGAGACCCAGCAGTATGTTTGAAGCAAGGTGTGGCTTAAGGGAACCAGTCAGTCTTCTATTGCTACACCATGTTCCCACACAGAACATGCCAGCTATAGTGACCACAAGGTCTCCATTGTCCTGGTGTCCTTTGGACCAGAGGGTCTTTTCAGTCCTTCCCCTGGGCAATAGACTTGTGTGACACCAATGAGCAGCTAAGGTTTCTTTTCCTTTGCTCCCCCACCCCACAGTGCTGAAGATAGAACCCAAGGCCTTGCACAAGCTAGACAAGCATTCAGTTACTGAGTTTACCCTTCCCCAAGCTCTATTATCTTCTTAAATATATTGAAGAATCTCTAAGAATCAGGCTACCCCATGGTGCTAGAGAGTCCAGGTCTAGGAGGTACCTGCCTTTTGTTGTTGGTTCATTTTGTTTTGTTGAGATTCTCACTAGGAAGCCTAGAATGGCCTGGAACTCATGGTTCTCCTGGTTCAGCAACCGGGGTGCTAGGATTGCAGACATATGCCACCCAGTACTCTTTGCCACTGAGATTTTGTTCCCATCACCAGACTCTAGTAGCTGGTGGCTGGTGACTGGAGAACAAACATTGAGAGGAGACCAAAGATCTGATTCACGGTCTATCACATCTTAGCCAAATGGCGGAGACCAAAGATCTGATTCACGGTCTATCACATCTTAGCCAAATGGTGTCAGACAAATCAAGGAACTTTCAAAGATTTTCCTTACACAAGGCTACCTCCGAACTGGGCGTTGGTGACACACGTCTTTAATCCCAACACTCAGGAGGCAGAGGCAGGTAGATCTCTGTGAGTTCGAAGCCAGCCTGGTCTATAGAGGGAGTTCCTGGACAGGTTCCAAAGCAATACAGAGAAACCCTGTCTCGAAAAACAAAACAACAACAACAAAAAAAAAATACTACCTCCAGAAAAATGTGTTTCTCAAGTGAGCAGGTAGGGCGTGTACAGGATGGGTGTGTGCTTGTGCACATGAGGATACTCGCATGTGCGTGCTTGCATGTACGTATGTACATCATCTTCCAGAGAGGTGATCGTATACCCAGACATTGGTGGGGTGGCTAAGGGGTGGCCACATGCCTTCTATATGAGGCTCTTCTAATCAGTGGAAATAGATTCAGTTTCTCAGGAGCCCTTGAAGGCCGGAGAAGCAGGCTCCCCATGAGGGCCATCTTCTACAAAGCCTTTGACTCTCTTCTAACAGTGAGAAATACACACAGGCTCAGGGTTCACAGAGGTTCTGCGGCCTCCCTGCTGGCATTTCAGGACAAGGTGGAGACATGGATTGTGAGAGGTCTTGACTTAAACTATCCTTCTGAGAAGTTAGTTTACACTTCCGTGTCCCCCTTACTCCTCCCTTCCTGGATTGATCCATCATCGTGACAGCTGAGTTCAAAATCTAGAGTCCATGACACTGCAGTGTAGACTGACTGACACTCAGCTTATCTGAGTTCATGGGGGAGAGAGAACCAAGGGCCCAGGCTCTCCTGCCACTTGCATACGAGAGAGCCCTGTGTCAAACACCTACTCAGACCTCCCTTCTGGAAGGAAACACTGGGGACTGGAGGGATGGCTTTGTATTTCTACTCTTCTAGAACACCGAAGTTCAATTTCCAGCCCTCAAGTCACACGGTTCATAACTCTCTGTAACTCTAGTTCCAGGGGATCAGGCACCTTGTCCTCTCTCTGTTGGCACCTGTACTAACCTGCACCTATCCGCATGCAGACACACACCCCTATACAGTTAACAATCATTTTCTTTTCATCTTTAAAAAGCAACATGTGTGAAACCCCATGTCCTTGTGCCCACACTCATTCTGGCAGTGGCAGGAGCTAAAACAGCCCCACTTTGCCAGTGTGCTGTAGGGGGCAGGAGAGGAACTGGGTGAGTGACAATGCGGGGGGGGGGGGGAGGGGGCAGAGACAGCAGGCGCTGTTGCTGGCATGGTGGCCGGTTCTGACGGCAGCAGTCATTGAGTGCCAGCTCCCTTTGATGCCTCCCACTGTATATGAGGAGCCCCTGTGGGCTTCTCACCCATTAGGAAGACCCTGCAGCCAAAAAGGCCAAGTAATGGGGACATTGGGTGCCCCCGGGAGAGAAGTCATCTCTCAGAAGCCTCCCGGGCTACTGTCTGTAAGGGCCCTCACACCTGGGCTGTAGTCATCTTGATACTCTGTCTTCAGTTATCTGCAAATGTTTCTTAATACTGGCTGATTGGCCAGGCTTTGGTGGTGCACACCTTTAATCCCAGCACTCGGGAGGCAGAGGCAGGAGGATCTGTATGAGTTCGAGGCCAGCCTGGTCTACAGAGTGAGTTCCAGGACAGCCTCCAAAACAATACAGAGAAACCCTGTCTGGAAACAAAACAAAACAAAAAAGTGAAAAATACTGGCTGATTGGTAAGTGCCTACTCTTCTGAAGCCATGAGAGACACAGACTATTCTTGACCAGCTTTCTCTTGAAGTCTACATATGCTCCCGAGATGTGCACCAGAACTTTCGTTATTTTACTTTTTAAAGTTTTTTTTTTAGGTGACAGCCCATGGGCAGTAGCCCATCCCTATAATCCTAACACTCAGGATACTGAGGCAGGATAATTATGACTGGGATATGTGTTAAGACTTTATTCCAAACAAACAAACAAAATCAGCTAACGAACCATATCTGAGCCCTGGAGCTGGCCTGTGTCCGAGTTTGCTTTGCTCCCTCTTCGCATTAAGTAAGAACTGGTTGTCAATCAGACAGTACCCTCTAGTTCACAGGCACCTCTCATGCTTCTGGGGTGTCCCTGGGAAGACACTGTGGGTTTCAGGGTGTTGGTGATAGAATTGTGGGTGTGTCTCCTCCCTCCCTTCGAGGACTCCACAATGAGGCACTCCACCCCAGCCTCCTTCGAGGCACCACTCTCAGCCTGGACAGACATCGGGGATTCTGACCAGTGGGATTGTTCTCACAGCCGTGTGCCAGGAAATAAGAAACCCAGCCCAGGGTGGGACCTCTGCTTCTCAAGACGAAGGTATGCCCAGAGGAGTCAGGGACCGGCACTCTTCCTGATGAAGTCCCATCTTTGGTGACTCAGTGGCTTCCTCACTGACTCAGACTGCTAAGTAAGCATCACCCTGTGCCTTCAGGAGAACTGTCCATGCCTTGGGTCGTATGTGTCCCTTTTGGGTGTCTTGTTGGTAGAGGACCCGAGTCTTCCAGCACCTAAGAAAGTCAAGCAGAGCAATCTGCAGATCAGATGTACCTTGCTACTCAGGAGTGACCACCATCCTAGAAAGACACATGAGGGCCATTGCCACTGCTATGTGAGGGTCCTCAGAGGGCACAGGCAGGCAGTGGGAGTGGCAAGATAAACAACCATGGAGCCATCCTGAAGGATTTTGTCAAGGTCCTTTCTCTAGAAAGCTCTCTCCAGGCCCAAGACAGAGCAGGACTCCGTGAAGTTATATGTGTGTGCTGGCTTTCATGAGAAGGGTGTGGGGCGATTGCCTTGCTGAACATGGCCCTGTTGGACACTCCACTGGGTGTGTGATTTGCCAGGCAGAGAAGGGTGTGTCCTGTTGCAGAGCCAGTTTGGCCAGCCCCACCTTGTTGGCAGAAGCGTGCTTTCAAAATGGGCTAATAGCTGGGGACATGGACACTCTTCATCTTGGCCTGCCTAGCGCACATACTGCATCCAAGGAGGTAGGCAGTTTCAGTCTGGTTATCCAGAGCTGAGGGAGAACTTTCTGAGCTCAGTCAGGTATCGGCTATGTTCCAAGTCAAGGTAAACAAAAGTGTCCTGGTCCCCAGGCTGTGCTGCCGGCATAGGCTGCCTTGCCCTCCTCCACTCCACCAGCTCACTTTGTCGGTGGTAGACCCCTGGGCAAGGAGCCCATGGGGAGCCCGGTACTCATCAGCAACTGGAGTGTCCATGCCCAGAAGAAATGCTCTAGAGCAGTCCTCCTTTCCATGAGTGCTTGCTGGGAACCCACCCACCTGCTAGGCAGAGCTTGGAGGAATAACAACCCTATTATAGTAACTAGAGAGCAGACAAGGCCAGGGGACACTGGGTGTGCAGTCGAAGGGTTCCAGCTATGGGCATCCAGGGCCAAGATGAGACAGAGCAGACTGCATGGAGATGACAGGTTGGGGGGAATGTGGGGTTTGAAAGTAGGTGACCAGAAAGCCAGTAAAGTAAGGGCTGGTGTGTGTCTGCTGTTGAGGGACAGTGTGAGAGGGTGTGTTTGGGAAGGAAGAGATGGCTGGGTAGGTGGGCTAGAGTCAAGTTGATGCTTGCTTGGTAAGCAACAGAGACACAGTAAGTTCTCCACCAAGGTTGGGGCTGGTGGAAGCTTTGCCTGAGAAAGGTAGAAGTGCTGATGTGAGAAGGCAGAGATAAGAGCAGTGGTTCTCAAACTGTGTGTTGCGACGCCTTCGGAGGTCGCCAATCAGATACCCTGCAGATCAGATACTCACGTTACAATTCATAAGTTAGGAGGCGTCCAGGAACGAACGAGGAAATTCAGGGCCACAGTCTAGGCAGTGGCAATGCAAAATAAGGAGGCAGACAAAATGCTCAGGTGGACACCACCCCTTCCAGACTTTGACAAATAGGAGATTCTTAGGCCTCTGGAGTCTAAGAAAGGCATTGGTTTACTTTGATCCAGCTCACTCTAGAACCCATGCTCCCTGACTTTACACAGTGAGTAGTGGGCACCGGAGAGCATCCTACTTAAAGAAGAGCAGGGACCATGAATGTGGGTTGAAATGCCACACTTCCTCAGGACAAGCAGGGTAGAAAGGAAGAAAGCATTTAGGGGCCTTAAAGGCAGGGCAACCTGGTACTTCATTAGCAGAATGAAGACATGTCTTCCTCGGGTGCAGGAACAGCCTTGTAAGGGAAAACAATGCCTCCAAGCACACAGCCTGGCTTCACTCTTTGAACAGGTAACTAGACTTAAGTTAGTAGAAGGGAGGGCAGAACACAGGCTGGCTATGGGAGGCTTCTGGCCAATGCAATCTTGTCTGGCTTGCCTCGGACTGTGGTCACAAGGGTTGACTCTCAAGTGCCACACTAGTGTACCATGTGGAGAAGCATGTCTCTGTGTCCACACTCTGGGCTTCAAGCTAACCACCTAACCCAGTCTGTTGACTCTTGTGGCAAGTTCTGCTCCCGGGAAGTTGAGTTTCTAGTCTGGAATGCTTTGATTCATGGTCTGTCCCACCTGAGGTTTGAGTTTCCCAAGAAAACACAGGATAGTCCTCTGGTGTGTGTGTGTGTGTGTGTGTGTGTGTGTGTGTGTGTGTGTGTGTGTGTGTGTGTGTGTGTACCCCCTTTGTATTCAGAGAAGAGGAGGCTGCCAGCAGATTCCTATCTGAGTGTGGGGGTGTGGCTGGAGAAGCATTGGCAGCAATGCTCTCCCACCTGCTGTGGGCACAGGTGTCCATGAGTTCTCTTTTGGCCACAGCTGTTTGCTTAGGACTTGGAAGAGAGTGTTTGGAAATGGGGGTGGGAGTGGGGCTGCTATCATTTGGAACCTGGGGGCAGGGCCACCACAAATATCTTGTGAGCATCCAGACAATGGAGAAGTGTCCTGTCACAGATGCCAGGAGCACCCATGTAAGGACTGCACCATCTTGTCAGAAAGCCTGCTTTACTCTGCATGTACCATCCGGGCAGAAGAGATGCCTCTATTTTCCCCAAACATACTTAGACCTGTCCTGCGCTGGGTAACGAGCTCAGCGTCGTGCTCTGAATCCCGGGTGTCTCCTTCCTGGGCCCACCCCCTTAGGGATTATCTAGAAACTTCTTAGAAATGGTGTGGGTTATTAAAAATCCTGTCAGGGGCTGAGAAGATGGCTCACCTGGTAGAGTTCCTGCCATACAAGCGCCAGCACTTTAGTTCAGATGCTAGAACCCACTTAGAAGCCAGGCATGACAAGTCCCATCTGTAACCCCAGTCCTAGGGGAACGGAGACAAATGCATTACTGAAGTTCATTGGCCAGCTAGACTAACATCTGAACCCACGAGCGCTGAGCTCAGAGAGAGAATTTGTCTTAAAAAGTTAAGATGGAGAGAGCAGCAGAGGGGACTGGGGAAATAGCTCAGTCAGAAGATTTATGGCCATGCCAGTGTGAGGACCTGCGTATGAATCCCCAGCACCCATGCAAAAGATTGGTATGATGGCATGTATGTGTAGTCCCTGCATTAGGAGAGACAGGAGGATCCCTAGTATACACGTGCATATGAGTCCACCCTCAGCCAGTTCCTGCAGGCAGCCAGTGTGAGAGTCAGAGGGATGCAGACGGTCCGAGTACTCATGTCATGTCCAGTTCTAATTTACAAACATTACTCTAATGATCCTAATGACCCTCTATGTCATGAACAATTAGGATCCCGGTTAGACAGCTGGAGAAACTCAGACTACTGGGTTACACCCAAAGAAGCAACTGACACAACCAAGGCAGTGTGACTCCTGTCTGCACTCTTGACTACCACATCTAAGTCCTAACCTGGCCATGCTTGAGGAAAGTATTTGGTTGCCCAAGACACCACTACCAACTCAACCTTACAGGCTGCAGCTACAGCCGGGTCATGGGCTAGCTGTGCAGGGAGGGTTGAGGCAGTACGCTTAATCTGCGCCTCGGAGAGTACCCAGGCATGCATAGCACTAAGAGAGGGAGGGGTCCAGCTAAGTTTAGGCCCTGCTTGTCAAAGTGACCACAAAAGGCAATGGGGATGGGAGCGCCACCTCTAGTTGTCATACTCACACAATCTAACACTGTGACTTTAAAAGCTGGGGTGGGGCTCTCAGGAATGGATGACAGTACTGGGGTGTGGCTGATGGAGGGGGGGCTGGTACTGCAGTCTCACAGGGGCATCCTCACCCATTCCCTGGGGGCAGACCACCTCGCTGAGACTTGCCAGGGCTGCCTGCTGCTCCTTTTCCCAGCACAGGTTGCTGAGCCCAGAACCTCTCTCGGGCTTAATCAGCAGGATGGCGTCTTTGCTGGGCTTGGGCCAGGAGAGCATCTGCACTCCTCATCAGGTGTCTGAGATGACGTCCAGGTGTGTCACTTACCGAGAACAAGGGAGCTCCTTGTTGCCTTTCTTAAGCCCAGCCTGCCTTGGGGAGTGTGTTCGGCTTTCCCTCCAAAGCGCCATCTGCTGCCTCCCATCCCGGGAGAAGAAGGCAGAATGTGGCCCACTGCCTGAGGCAGTGGAGGCCTCTTTACAGTTTGTATATAATCATCAAGGAGTACAGTTCACTTCCAAATGACAAGAAAGCTGCCCTCTCCTCTCACCTCTGCCTTGCCATTATCCGTGGCTCTCCTGATCTCCCACAGACCAGCACACTGTACGACAGGGTGGTTTGACCCAGTTGGAGGCAGAAAATGGTGCCTGCTTGGCACGGTGAAGAGAGTGTACCTGCCACTGCCAAGGCTAACAGTTGTGGCTTCTGGGTTTTGGATAACCACTTCCAACTGGTACCTTGACACCCATTCTTTGGGGGAACTGGAAAAATGGGCCCCTCCTTAGTTCTGTGTGACTAGATCCAGTACAGAGGAGAATTGCTGGTCGCCTAACAGCCTCCTCTCAGACACACAGTTTGCACCTAGTTTTCTCTGCCCCATCCTTTGTTTAGGGTTGGGTGGGCAGCCTCTAGGCTGGATTTGGCTCCTGCTTATCCCAGCAAAGGTGAGTCCCGAATCCGCACCTGTATGGAGAGGTTTTATCAGGCTCAATGTTGATCCTGTAGTCTGAGAACAAGTTCCAGCAGGCCAGACCCGCCAGCCTTCGGGTCTGGGAAAGTCTGCTATGGAGAGTTCAGTACCACAGCTGATTCCCACCAAGTCTCTGGCTTTGCAGGCTCCTCCCAAAGAAGTAAATTCCCGGTTGGGCTAAAGAGACCCTTAGGAACACCCCATTGTTCATGGTACATTTTTCCCTTTGGATGAGTTTCTACTCCGCCTCTTTCCCAGCCAGCCTGACAACACAGCCCAGAGGCCCACCCTGCAGCCCTGGTTCACCTCCGTGTGCCCAGTGGCTTCCTAGCCAGCAGCTCTTTGTAGCAGGATAGAATAGACATTTCCAAACGTGTGCAAGTGCTGATGCAGGACTGGATGTGTCGGAAGTCACTGCTGTTTGGCGTGCCTGAAGGGACAAGACAAGAACCCGGGACAAAAGCTCCTGGGTGCTGCTCTTTCCGGGTGGCTACAGAAAGAGCCCTCCTCTCTGGCTGGCAGCCCCCGTACTAGACTTTGCCCATGTGGCCAGATGGGTAGTATAGAACTCCCTTTCACACATTTCCACCATAAGAAGAACATTTGGCTTGGCAGTTAAGAGCACTAGTTGCTCTTCTAGAGGACCTGGGTTCAATCCCCAGCAACCACATGGTGACTCAAAACCGTGTGTAACCAGAGTTCCAGAGAATCTGACACCCTCTTCATGTGTCTTCTTTGGCACTAGACATACATGTGGTGTGTAGACAGACATACGTGCAGGTGGAACAGCCATGTACACAAAATAAATTATTTTTAATTAAAAAATTAATTTTACATTGCAATTCTGAATCTACTCACTGTAGCACAAAACAGGTTATGTTTCTACCATGTTATACTCTGTATTGTATATTTTTCAATATAGCTCTTCATTTTATACTTTTAATAAGGGTGGGCATATCTGCTAATAATATCTCATATTCCACAGTGGATCACAACCTGCATTTGGAAAAATAATATAGCAAGCAGAAATGCCCGAGGTTCCTTTGTCTGCGGCTATCTCCAGATCCTTTGAACACTGTAACTGGGCCAGGAGGGGCTGCCTTCGTGGACAGCTAGATCCAGGGTCCCAGTCAAGAGCCTGACTAGACCGTTTACTCCTTTCCTGTCTAGGTCTACAATGGGACCCTCAAGCGGGAACCCGACAACAGGCGCTTCAGCTCCTACAGCCAGATGGAAAACTGGAGCCGGCACTATCCCCGCGGCAGCTGTGCCACCACTGGCGCCGGCAGCGACATCTGCTTCATGCAGAAAATCAAGGCGAGCCGCAGTGAGCCCGACCTCTACTGTGACCCGCGGGGCACGCTGCGCAAGGGCACGCTGGGCAGCAAGGGCCACAAGACCACCCAGAACCGCTACAGCTTCTACAGTACTTGCAGCGGCCAGAAGGCCGTCAAGAAGTGCCCCGTGCGACCGCCCTCCTGCACCTCCAAGCAGGACCCGGTGTATGTACCACCGATCTCCTGCAACAAGGACCTGTCCTTTGGCCACTCAAGAGCCAGTTCCAAGTGAGTGCTGCCAGACTGTGGTGGGGCCGGGGGAGGGGGAAGGGGGGAGGCAATCTGCTAGCCTGTCCTACTCTCCAAGGGGCTCGCTCCCAAGGAAGCCGGGAGCCTGTCCCACTCTGCAAGGAAGCGGGAAGAGGCTCAAGCCTGTGTTCTGGTTTCATTCTTGCCACCTTGAGGAGTGTCTGGTTAATGGGCTACTGACTAGCGAGTCATCAGACTGAAAAGGTCATGGAACCCAGACATTGAATACACAGGTCTTAGTGATCACAAGCTATGAATAGATGAAGGCAAAGGAGAGAAGATTAGCAGGCTAATGGCTGCCACACCATTTCTCTCTGGGAATATGTTAGCAATACTTGTTCTCAGGGATGGAGAGATGTTTCCACAGTTAAGAGCACTGGCTGCTCTTCCAGAGGACTCAAGTTTGATCCCCAGAACCCAATGGCGGCTCTCAACCATCTGTGACTCCAGTTCCAGTAGAGCCAACACCCTTTTCTGGCCTCCAGTCATGCATGTAGTGCATAGCCATTCATGAAGGCACAATACCCATACATATGAAATAATAAAATTAAAAAAAATATTCATTCCTGGCCCCACACAGTCCTACAGACACCTGGAGGTCCTAGCAATATGGGTTCCAACAAGCCTTCTAGGTAATAGTCTCTCTCTCTCTCTCTCTCTCTCTCTCTCTCTCTCTCTCTCTCTCTCTCTCTCTCTCTCTGTGGCACACACACACACACACACACAGTGAATGAGACCTGATGAGCTGTCCTGCAGAGGACACAGTAATATTGAAGCTGCCTTTCAAGGCTCAGCGCACCATGAACCTTCCAACTGTCCCTTATCACCTAATGACCTAATGACAGCTACTCACTTATTTGGCGAATATTTAGGGAGCATCTACTCCTTGCAGGCTGTGCGGTGAGCACAGGAGGCACAACCATGGTGACACAGTCACGGCATCCCTGGAGCACATTCTTAGTGACAGAGGAACTTTGTGTTCTTCCTATCCAGCCCCTTTCCGGCAGGTCCCGGTGAAGCCGACAGTAGCAGCGCTTGCCCAAGGCCACACAGCTGATTCTACAGCTGTCCTTGTTCCTACCACACTGTGCGGAAAGAAAGCAGACCCATTATAGGGACCGCTCACATTGGAAGCGGTGTTGTGAGAGGACTCAGAAATCCCTAGAGACTAGTCATGGCACCATCTGCCCCTAACTGGAGGTTTAGGATTGAGTGGCAAGCCATGTAGAAGGGACAGTTGATTGATAAAGATAAGATGATGCTTTCTCAATAGAGAGCAGTTGTTCAGCTAGGCCAGAGCCAGAGAATGCTGACCCTAGGATGAGATTTTTCAGACATGAACTTGGATTGCCTTATCGATAACTGTGGCTATTTGTTGAGCACCAACTATGGCATTACAAACGAAGAGAGGGTTCCCGCTGTAGATGCTGAGGACAACTGTGGGGTAGGGCTGTCTCTGCCCTCCAGGACCTGTTCTCTCTGTTCAGAAGCAAGGCACACTTGGGTGGAAAGGCTGCCCGAGGCTGCATACCATGGGAGCTGTGGGAGTTCCCAGATGAGGGCTCCCTTCCTTGGAAAGGCTTCTTGGAAGGGACACTCCAGCAGGCCTAGGCTGGACCTTCGTGCCTGGAACTGAAGATGTCTTGCTACAACCAACACACTCTTGCCAGGGGCTAGGGAATGTGCCAGCGTCTGCAGTGGAGCCAAACATTCCGTTAAAAGAGTGAACTAACAGCCATTTCCTGTGGTTCAACCTATCGCGTGCCCTTCAGTGTCTGTCCAAGAAGACTGAATTTGAACCTGCTGCATGGAGAGGCTGTGGGTGGTTTCTGAGCTGGAGAACAAGCTAGTGGACAGAATTTTAAGACCTAGTTAAAGGCAGCTCTCTAGCCACTGGCCCCATGACCTCGATCCCAACACAGATGAATATGGTGACGATGAGGATGAAAACAGTCATAAGAATTTGTGTAAGAAGCTAGCTTGACTTGGGGAGGGAGGGGGAGCAGAGATGGAAGAGACAAGCCATCTGCTTTCACTCTGCCAGGGCCAGGCACAAACTGAGTGGCAGGATAGCTGGGGGGGCTTCATCTCAGGAAATAGGACCAAGTTTGCGTACAGTGCAAAGTCCTGCTTCAGTCTTAACCCATGACAGGGCCCTCATCCCAAGAGAGGGAGACCCCGAACACAACCCTTTTCCTTCCTCGAAGGGAGCTGTTCACAAGATATTCTCCAAGGGAGCCTGACTGCCTTGTTCTGTTTCCCTGGAGGAGAGGTTGTGGTGGTTGAGTGTACAAGGAAGAATTTAGAGCCTGCTCGCCAGGGCTCCCAGCTCACCCTGTAATTCACTGTACCGCATTCTTCCAGGATCTGCAGCGAGGACATCGAGTGCAGTGGACTGACCATCCCTAAGGCTGTGCAGTACCTGAGCTCCCAGGATGAGAAGTACCAGGCCATCGGAGCCTATTACATCCAGCATACCTGCTTCCAGGATGAGTCTGCCAAGCAACAGGTAAAAGGCCATACGCCTTCCTAGATGCTAGATCCTGAGCGTGTCAGCCTAGCTCCACGCTTGGAGATGCGTGGAAGCATGTGCAGTTGGCTCCTTTCCACAGCACCCAGGAGAAGGAGAATTCCTGGAAAGATCAGAGCTGCATCTTAACCTGCAGAGTAATGC